AGGAAGCGGCGGGGGCCGGTCCCGAGCCGCCGAAGAACACCCACCCAGAGGCCCAGAGTGCCGCCGTCCTGCTGATGTTGCCGCAGCCATGGGAGCCTGGCAGCCGCACCACCTGGCCGGTTGTTTGGAGGTGCCCGGGACCCTTTTTATGGGGATGGCTTGGAAAAAAACCGACGCCAAGAGAAAAGCCCACCGTTTCGGGGGGGGGGGGTCCACTTAAAAAAGACAAACTCAAAAACAACAAAGCACACGTTTTTTTGGGTGGAAGAACACCCATTTTGAGGGGTCCAAATACTCAGAAAAGAAGAAGAGCTTGGCCAAACGAGCCTCTCAGTTGCTCAAAGGGGACGGACAAGGTTGCTAACCTCTTGGATACTGTGAAAGTGGACCAAGAAACCAAAAGGTCAAAAGGCTGGCTTTGGGCAAAGCCTTGAGATGCAACTCTGGATTTCACCAGTTCACCCCGTCGGTCAACAGAACTTGGTTGACGTTGGAAGGGGAGCAACAAATTAAACTTTAGCAGTGAAGTGGGGAGTTCAACCACGAAACCACAATAAGCAAAAATATAAAATGTACAACAACCATGAGAACACCATGGCTCAGAACCTATTGCGCCTCTTCCTTTCGGCGTCTTTCTCCCTGAGCCTGGGACTCGGAAAGCAAATTTCCTGTGAGGGGAAGAAAGTCCCATGTTTAAAAGAAACCCAGCCATCGCGTCAAAAAACCCCGAAGCGGGTCCCCAACTTTAGGTCGCCAAAGCCTTGCGGGCGTATCACTTTTGACTGGCTTATGAGACAAGCCCTCGGTCCGGTTGAAAAACGAGCACGGTGCACCAGGTTTTTTCCGTGGGACTGGGATTCTTGGGGCCTGACTTACCAGCAAAGCGTAGCTGAGCCATGACTTCAAGACCTGGTACTAAAGGGGTCGACCCAAAGCCAACGAAGATGCTCACAACACTTAATTAATCAGCTCCTGCTGGCACGACGTCCCGTCGGCCAGAATCAGCTGCCAGCTTCCCTCTTTGTGGATACCTCAACCACCTTGCCATGCACATCGAGGTAACAGTCCTGGCATATCGAACTCACTTGCGGGATGGAAAGATAATTTCCCGCACCTATTTATGGCTGAGACTGTCCGGGATCCCTAACCTTCACTGACCCGGATTTTGATTGTGGCTAAGATGCGTGGCCCTTCCCTCTAGCACAGCAACACATGGCCAGGAACCACGTGCGGCCCTTTTTCGGTATCACACATTCCGCTCCCTGGTCTACCCCTGCTTTTGCCAACCATAGAGGGTTGCATGTTTGGATTGTCCATATTTCGATCGGGGAACATTACCTCAAATCTTGGCCAGGCTTCCGCCCCAAGCCATCTTGTGGCCAAGAAGAAACCAGAAAATGGATTAACCCAGCAAGTGGCTGGGTGAAAGGAGGCGCTTGCTTCAGACTTTGCTCCACACAGCGCGCTCCGGGGGGAAAAAATCCCTCCCCGAACGCACCTCCACACGCTGTGAGTCACTGATCTTCTTGCTGGAGACGCGGGACCTCACGCGTCGCAAAACATGCTCGCGCTTTTGGAGGCCTTTCGAACGATTGCCCCCAACCCAAATCGTTCCCGGGCAAATTGCCATTTGGCCGTGGGTCAAAACCCAAATCGGCTAGCCCCCAGTGAACATCCGATTCAACCCCCACTAAAATAGGTTCTAAAATGGGGTGCAGCGAAAACCACAAAATGGAGCCATGGCCATTTCGGTGTGACTCCAAAAACAGGAATTCAACATGGAACCCTGGTCGGAAAAGTGGACCAAACAATTTGCGTAATAAACCAGCTGTTTATAAGTTTGAGCCACACCCGACACACGAAGCGAACAGGGGAACAAAACACTTGAGTGGCCGTTGAACACTTGAGTCAATATAATATTATCAAAATTGGAGTATTTAGACATGTATCATTATGGAGCCGTCTTTGCCAGGTTTGCCAAAATGGTCCAAGGACGCAAAAAAAGCCGGGAAGTCCCGAAACTCACCTGAGCCGACTTCTCAAGCCCATGGAGCGCGAATGTGGCAAGGCGTTTGGGTCTTGGGGCCATGGCAAGTCGGAGGCTTTCTTGTGCTTTGGTCTCTCAAAAGGTGAAACCCTTTTTGGTTGGGCCATGTTGGGCCCCTTCCGAACCGAAGAAAGCCGGGCCCCTTTCTTTTTTGCGGGCTATTTTGAGAACCGAGGCATTCTGCCGTGGTTACGCCCGTGGGTACGCTGGTTGCGCCATGACTTGCCTTTCAAGTCGCGATTCGAGTTGTTTGGACCCTACTTGTAAGCAGTTGCAATCCCTGAGCCATCCCTGGGTTGCAGTCTCTTTCTGTGCTCAAAATGGAGTGTTGCCCAATCCGATGTTCCATCCCTGGGAAACCACTGAGCGGACCATTCTCGTAAGGAAACCAATGCCTTTGAACAGCCCAGGCCTTTTGGCTGTGGCAACCAAAAAACCGGAATTCCAAAATGGCTTGCCCGATCGGTAAGTGGAAACATGGGTTACCCAAACCTTGCGGTTTGCCCCTCCTGTTTAACTTACCCCTTAAAACTCCAAGGGTTGGGGAAGTTAATCTTTTACAGACATATAGCCCATGTTACCCGAAAAGTTGAAAAGTTGTGGTTTTAAGAGGTAAGTTGACTTTGAGCCACACCTTTTTCTTTTTCTGGCCAAATGGACTCTTGCCATGGCCTCAGGTTCCCAACGCCCCGAGGGGCCCAGGAGCCCGGCCAGTGCTCGCTGAAGAGCCGCATCTTCTTCACCGGATCCTGCGGTCCAGGAAACAACTCAGAAAGCTCCAGGCAATCACGGCTGCAGATAGATAAAACAGAAGAGATCTGGGCAACTTGGTTAAAATTCAGCACCAGGCACCAGGGACGGCGCGATAAGTTGCCCAAATGACTGTGGGACATTGGGAACCCACAAGATGGCGCTATGGTGCCGTCCAACCCTTGGCATGCAAGCAAGTTTGATTCTTGCCGCCCACTTGCCCATGAACAGGCGGTCGTGTTGCTCAACCATAGTGGTTCAACTGATTCATGGTTACCACTTGTTGCCTTTCACACTTTCGGTCATGCTTAAGGGGGCTACAGTCAAGGTCCCACAGTTTTCACCAGCTCTTGGCTTTTGGAGTTCGACGGTTCTTCTTGATTGCATTCCCTCAGAGATCGGCTTTTTGCATCTATTCCTTCTTCCATGATCGGCCAGCAATTCCTTTGCAGCTTCGCAGCCTGTTTTCGGATACCCAACAAAGCCCCAGAATGTGACAACCACTTCCCCCATGACACCATGCAACTCCAGCATGCAAGCTATCTGCAAAAGCTATATATAATCATTCCAAAACCTGAATTACCCTGTCAGGTTCCATGTTGATTGGTGGGAGGAAAAGGGATATTCTTGTAAAATGCCTTTACCATGGTGAGCTCGTTTTACCCCCTCCCCCGAACCGGTGAGCTGATGTTAGTACCGCAGCTCCTGTTCTTCTTTCAGAAAATGCAACTCGACCCAACATGGTTCGACTCTGTGGATATCGACATGCCAAACCAGTTGATCAATGTCCCATACCTTTTGGGATGTGTCAAATGTCAATGCAAGGGGACCTTTTACAAGCGACTGGCATGTAAGCCAACCTGAAAAGGGCACCCTGCACCCTGAAAACAAAAGAAACACGTACGTACGTACGTACACACACACACACCCTTTTGTGCTGCCCAACCGCCTGAAATGAAGCTTTGGTTCAAGGATTCTTGTCAAGCACTTCTTGCGCACCCCGGGGTGGCACCTTTCAGAAAACCGACGCTGAAAGAATGCTTGCTGGACCAACCGGCAGCATCAAAAGGTGCGTGTTTCTCCGAAAAGGGGTGCCAAGATGGTTGATGTCCTGCTTGTGTCCGTCTACATCTAATGAAAAGCGAGGATCCTCTACTCCGGTGCCCAAAGATTCTAGATATACAAGGTGAACCTTGTGGGGCCTAAAAGTTGATGCAACTGAAACCCACTATGACAATGAAATTCAGGTCGGCACAGCAGGAAGGCTTCTTCTGGGTTCTCCTTATCCCCGACACTCCTGAAAATGAGCGTTGAACCACGCCAACATGTCAGCCAATTATAGGTCTCTGGATAAACTCGACTCTGAATTTGCACGCGCGTGCTACATTGAATTGAAGCCCTTTTGGGCTTGACCCTCTTCAGTGGGAACCCACCAAACCAAAATCGGATTTAGAAGTCACTAGATGTCCCATTCAAAAGTTGCAATTTATTGCTTGGTTCCATTCAAAGTGCCTTCGCAAAGGGAAAATGAGAAACATTTAGGGTGCCCGTCACCGGCAGAAACCCAAACATCCGGATGACAGGCTCGGAATAGAAATGCACACCGGTCCCAAACCTTTGAAAAAAAACACTCAATTCTTGAAGCCCTTCTTTACAATTGGTGATCGTTCTCGGAAATGGAAGCGCACTGTTGACCCCTGATTCATACCCCCCCTCCCCAGTTATTGATCAGGGAGGTCGCCCAGGAAGAAAGGATTCCCCACTAAAAAGGGACCCCCTTTCGACCAAGTCAGGCGTCAGCATTACTTCCTGTTCTGGCGCCAACCGATCGATGGAGAAAACAAAAAAAACACACTGGACACGAGTCAAAAACGCGCGGACGCCTTTCGCGCGATTTTTCCCGGGCCATGTTTTCACGGCCCAATGGCCCGGTGAGTTGGCCCAAGCTGGGGCTTGGGCCACCCAACCGAAGCCGAGCACAGGCATCAGGCCTGCCAACTCCGTGAGACAGGCCGCTTTGGGCCGGCAACCGCTGGCGACATGTCGAATTTCCTTGGGCTTCCTCACGCCAAAGGGCATGGAAGCTGAGAAAGACTTGGCACGATGGAGACACGGAGGTTTCAGTCAATTGGACCAAAACTCACACCCAGAAAGTCGGACGCACCTGATATGATGACTTGGGGAAGCCAGATGTTCGTCCAGCGTCCGACTTGCTGGTTCCGACTTGGCCTTGTCAGCGCTCAGCTCCTGTCTGACGTCGAGACTTGATTCTGAAGGCCACCTTGTCCGCCCAATCGGCTTCTGTTGGGCCTTGAACTGGCCAAACCGTTGACTGGATGTTACGTACGGTTTGCAAAAATACCAACTCAATCAACCCCTTGCTTCTTTTTCTTGGCCAGGGTACGCAGAGCATTTGTCGCATGCATCAGATTGCAAGACCCGGCCCCTTGATTCTCCATGCGTTTTTGCCCCATCCCCCGCCTAGGTCCTAGGTCCGCAGGCAGCTCCGGAGCCGCACCCCGTCCCCGGCACGCTTGGCGTCGAAGCCTCGCAGCAACGGTCTTTGGAGGCTCGCCGGCTTCGGGGGGGGGGGGTTGAGGGGAAAATCAGAAGCAACACTCAACTTCCGGGGGCCCGACTTTAAGACACATGGACACCGGTATTGGTGAACCGGCAACAACTGAATTCGCCGGACATGCGCAAAAGGCCACCTGGCAACTTTCCTGGGATACCTCACCTAGATGTCCCATGAGGTGTTTTCTGGCTATTCAGAAATCCTTTCGCGAGCACCTTTTGCTGGAGACGGGGAAGCCAAAACAGCAAAACAAAACAACAAATGCGAATCACATTGTTCGACCGCAAGGTAGGCAACTCAACTCAATGGCAACGATTCTCCAACTTATCTTGGACAAAACTGCAGCTTGGCTTTTTGCCGACACCCTCTGGCGGGTGTCCGCTTCAGCTTGCGTGCAAACTTGTCTCGCTCAACCTCGTGGAAAATGGAGCGTTCGTGATCCAAATCCGGGAGCCCAAAACCCTCGTGTTCACTTGACTTAGTGGCTCCATGATCCCACTGTCAGTGAGAAATATCAATCCTGATCTTAATGCCGATAACGGATACTCCCTTGGAAAAATACTCTATCAAAATGGAAACCTTCAAAAGGGATTCCAACCAATTCTATGACCCACGTCTTTTAGGGGGTCCATGCTCCATTCGTCGTGGAGCTTGACAGGGTTCCGTAGATTTATTTGTCTTCTTTGGGTACCTGTTTCACCCAATGAAACCAAACACCAAATTCCTTCTTGAGCCAAAGTCCGATTTAAACAATCGCGCCGTGTATAAATCCACCAAGGGACATATGTGTCCAAAATGCGTGGGCCCTCGCAAAATGCTTGTGGTTTCCCTGCATAGCAGGCTCAAATTGCAAAATGGGCCTGAGTTTCTGAAAACAGCAAAGTTGGCGTGGGTGTCCCTTTGGCTTCCCCTAAAAACCCGCCTGAAAGCCGCAAAAATGGGCCTGGGTTAATAAGCACCAACGCCAAAAAGAGCTGCCCTCACCCAAAAAACACCGCCACACAACTGACCCCGGGTCGACTTCGTGCCTCTGGTGGCCTCCTGGTGCGGCAGCAGCGTCACCAGCCCCGCGCTGTCGCCCAGCGCGAGGCGACAGCCCTGGAGGTCTGGAGGTTGCCATGTGGGAGACCCTCCCACCAATTCACCGCCGGAACATAGGCGTCCTTTCGGAAAAATAGATGGGTTTCCCTGGGTTTAAATGGACTCAAACCCATCTAAACCAGTGGAACCCATCTATTTTTCACCAAACTCACCTAAAAAGGACACCGATGCGCCGGAACCAGACGGGGAAATGATCCCCTTAAAGGAAAACGGTAAGGAACCGGCCGTCAGGGCAATGCTTCTGGGTGAATAATAATAATAATAATAATAATAATAATAATTTACCAGCCTGAAATACGGTGGTTTGGGGGCTATTCCCCACATAAACCACCATTTGGGGTGAGGTCGTGTGAGGTCGATAATTCACCCTGAATGATCCCTTGAAAGGAAAATGGAATTGGTGGGAGGGCATTTGGATGGGGAAGATACTAAAACTTGCCATGCCCACGACTATCGTTTGTCAATGTAAAGGATACTCTATCGCAGAAAGTGGATCCATGGCCTTGGACATGTGTCCACCTTGGATATCTGGATGTACGCAGAAAATTGACTTCAGGGAGATCCATGCCCATTAGTTTTGTTCAACGTAAAGGTAAACCATCGCCGATACCATGTCTGATGGGCTACGCGAATACTTGGGAAACCACCAATTCAAACTGATGTGAAGTGGATGTCGTCCATCGACAGCTATGTGGGTTGAAGTTAAGGCAAGTCTTAGTCCATGTTTCCATTTACTTGCTGGTGCGATAGGTGGAAAATGAGAGAATGAACCTGGGGGTCCCCGTAAAGGAAACCACCAGTTGGATGGCTACAAGGGATGGCTTGTAGGTGAAATATCCGAAGTCGCCATCTGGCCACCTGAAACCACTTTTCCACGCATCCGGGCGGGAAACCGCCCCACTCCAAGGCAAGGCAACGCATGCTACAACTCTTGGGAAAGCAACTAAGCAACAAATTGGTAGGAACAGCGAAAGATGTTTTCCCCAACCATAGACTTAAGGGAGTCCCATTGGATTCTCAGAGATTGGAGTGGGAGTGCAGTAATGGAATAGGGGGTTCCTTCTCCGTCAAACGGATGCGACGGGACAGAGGTTTTCGGCTTGCACTGGGTCCTGAAGCCCCGGAGCAAATCGGGGGCTTTTAACGGGGGCCCGTTCGTTGCTTCAACTCATGGCCTTTTGGCCTCATGTTTACTTTGCTTTACGGGCCCATTGAAAGTTTTAGGGTGGGCTGAATATGAAACAGAGTCAGAAAATGCTTCTTTCATATATACCCACACTCAATATGGGCGCACCAGTGCACCCCGCATTAGAAATGGGGGTGTCTTTTTTCAGGGGCCCGCAATATGGATTTGTGTTGTCTTTTTGGTTCCCTTCAACATCACCAAGCATGACGGGGTCAAAAAGACACACGGAAATGGTGACATACTTGGATGGTTGCAAAATCCATTTCATCTTCCGAATCAGACATATACAACACATTCGGAGCAAACCAGGGGAAGTTACGGGAGAAGGAGGTGGGATGCTGTACCAGCACGCATCTCTCACTTTGCCAAAGGGCCTGGGATTAAAAGGTGATCACCTTTTTGGGGCCTTGACTAGTGAACGAAAATGGGAAAACCAAAAGGTCGATTCGCTTTGGGCAACCGACGGCCGAACCGCCCCTGCCTCTTCCGCCTTGATCTCGCAGAGGCAAGTGGCGCAGTGGATGCCCCGTGGGAGTCGCCGGGACCTCAAATATGCGAAAAGGCGCGACTGGGCCAAGACCTGTTCGGGTTGCTTGGCTGTTAGATAGCTGGGCTGTTGGGCTGCTGGGCTGGGCTGTTGGGTTGTTAGGCACCTGCTGGTCAATAGCCTGCGCAGGCCCAAGACGATGCCGGCCGCCCTGCTTTTTTGACACAAGACGATGAATTATTTAGGTGGTGCGAAATGGATTTGGGCCATCCACAGTAGGCGGTACGAGATGGATGTACTTCTTCGAGGTCCTTCAGAACACCTCAAGCGAGGGTCCCGCCACTGGGAAAACAACAACAGCTAGGCCCTACCCTTTTTCTGTAGTCTATTTTAGTAGGGGAACCCTCCCAACCAAAAAAATGAAAATGGGCACTGGGGGACCTAGAGAATGAGAATAAGGGTCCATCCTCTCGGTGCCTTCACCTCCAGGTCCAAAGGTCAAAAAAACGGAAAGCCCCAAAAGCACAAACCTTGAACAGGGCTTCAAACAGTTCAAACATTTCCCCTTCAAACATTTCCCCTTCTATATTTTTCCCCAAAGGGAAATGTAGGGACCCCTGTCGAAGCTCCATTCAGCCTCACCCCCCCCCCCCTTGGCCCCTGAATGGACCATCCCGCGCGGCCGGAACTGGCCGGTGTCGATGTCCCAGGACACAAGGCGCATGGATTCCTCGGCTCGTTGCCATCAGTACCCAAAGTGCCTGCGAAGTTGCTCTAAATCGAGCAATTGGTCACGCTGGATTTGATTCGTGGGTTCTATAAAGCATTGATGTTGGGTGTAGAGAACGAGCGTTGTCAATATTCAATTGTCATGCGAGCAAGCTAGGAATAGGTACTACACATTAGTCCTTTTGTTTTTAAATCAAATGGGTAGGTCACAATTGGGAAGATCTCTGTGCTAACTCATTTTACTCACTGGTCTGGCTGAAATTGAAGGCGGTTGCCAATCAGAATAAGGCCCTGACCACTCAAGGAACATTCACTTGAACCATGACTCTCAGCTTGAGTTTCTGCAATTATTGCCGATTCGGTCTTCTTGGGGGTAAAAGTGTATTCTAGTTTGCTTGTGCGTGCATGTGTCACGTTTGTGTGCATGTGCACATGGTATGCATGGAGAAGCATTGGAGCTGGGCACATTCAGCAGGTTCAATGATTCTTGGCCAACCTGAAAACAGTGCCAGTGCTCTTGGCTATCAAACTTGTCCAATCTATCATTGTTGGCCAAGCGGTTTTGGACCTTAAAATGGTGGGGTCACTGGATGTCCCTTTCAAGAGTTGATCAATTTACTGGTGCTTCCCATTGAAGCAGAAACAATCGCCACTTTGGGAGGTTCCACACAAAAGAATGACTCGGAAACCCGGTAAACTGGCAACCCGGGCCGTCCTCAGATCTGCTAACAGTTGGACTTACTGGCATGGGTTAAATAGACACTTACCCACTAAACCAAGTAGAAACAACGAAAACACCTTTTTGGAACCTCCTCAGACCCCCTGCTTAAAAGTTTAACTTACTGGGTTTTTGTTGGACACCTAACCACTAAACCAATTAACCAAAAAAAAACACAAAAAAAAAAAACACCTTTCTGGAACCGGACCATTCGCTGGGAAGCCCCTCACATCTCTTCGACCCCGGTAAGGTTTCTCGAAGGTTCCGCCGCCATCAGCGTCTGCACCTCCTCGAGGGACACGAAGGTCAGGCCACGCAAACCGCCGCCCTCCAAACGGTGCAGCACCTGCCTCGGGTTCCACCCGAGTCGCGTGGTGCAACGAATACGACGTCTGGGTTCAGGTGCGAAGTACATTGGGAAACCTACACTTGAAGAACCATCCCCCTTTGGTGTGCCTTTAAATTAGAAGCTGGATGGTTTGGTGCTAATCAACTTGGGGACAATATACGAAGATATACCATTTTCTGGTGTTTGCCTTTGGGTAAAACCATGAAGTGGGGCTGCCCTCGCACCCAGACAACGGTTCCGAAAGAAAGTAAGACACTGAGGTTCTGCCGATGGACGAACTCCTGCACCACTTGAATCCACCCTCCGCTATCACAAGGGAAAAAAGCATCATTCCGGGGCTTAGGTGGTGCACGATGTTCTCTCCACAGAGAGAGGCCTGGACCGGAGGTTCGGGTCGCTATGAACCCTTGCTGGTTCCGGAGGATAGTTGATGACCAGGCGACTCCCGGGATGCAAGGCCACTCGACCCCGGCCACTTGAGGCTTGCTGGGATCCAGGTCTGCAGGTACTTGGGTTTTGAGTCACCGAAGTAGTCTCGGGGAAGAAGCTCCTTCGACCGCAAGCAACGGTCCCAGTTTGGGTGGTTCACTGGTTCGCTCGCCCTCGGCTGTATTCTGGCCGTGCCTTCGATATTCAGGGATCTTTCTCAACAAATGAACCAGTCGCCTTGGAAAATGAGTGGTTTCCACTAAGATGGTAACACACGCAGGGGTCCAAACTGGCCAAAAATGACACAAAAAGAACCATGACAAACACATGCAGCAAAACCACAATTGGTCACCTCACATGGGTGCTTCGTTCTTGAGAACCCTTTCTGGGTTACTTTTGAAGGATGACAGGGAAACCACTGGTTTAGGGCTCATTGCACACAGGCACGAAGTCACAAAGAAACAGTGGCGCACAGAATTGTGTCAGCCATGGGCAAGTGTGCACCTTGTCATGCCTCTGTAGCACCCGTAGCACTTCAAAGGTCGCGAGCATTTATGCCCGCGCATCGCTACTCGATTGATGCCATCCCAAAAGTACTTCAGCACCCCAGGCAACGACCAGGCAACGATGGTGCGTTGCAAACCTGAAATGGCCAGGCTACTTGGCCTAGCGTGCTTGGAAAGTCCCCCCCCCCCCCCCCTGCATTTTTCTCTGGCACCCTGGGCCGCGCATCAGCTGAAACGTACGGCTACACCCAAACGCGAAAGTCCTTGCATTTTCGTGTTTTTCTTGAAAGTCCGCAGCCTGCCAGTAAAAACAACGCAACGAGTAGTCCCGGCAGGGTCCTTGCAACTGAGCCTTCCCCACTGGCACACGGCGCCCAAGTGTCTCCTAAAACTGCTTTCTTTGAGTACAACTACGGACGCAATCCCCATGGCACATCGCATGTTACAAGGCACTTAAACGCATTTTAAGCATACACGTTTAAGTACGAGTAAGAAGGCAATCCCCATGGCACATCGCATACCAGTTGGGACCAAGATGTTGCTTGACTATGTGTGTTTGCACGCCAAAAAGAAGGCAATCCCCATGGCACATCGCATGCTCAACAACATCGAAACAAGTCTTGCAAAAACAAGTTCGTGTGCTAGTACGAAGGCAATCCTAAATAGCTTTCCCCACTGGCACACTGCTTGCGGCGCGAGATCATGGCTTGCGGGGCGTGTAACCACAAGGACCCAGTAAGTGTTTTTCAGGCGTGTGCCAATGCGATTGGCCACCCAAAATGCCTCAACATCACCAACACAAACCGCGATCGAGGGAAGGTGTTTTCCATGTGTGCCAGTGCGTTCGTCCTACCCAAAAGACCTCAACTTGATCAATGAAACCATCTCAGGGGACCACGTTCAGCATGTATTTCTCTACAGAAAAGACCTCAATATCACGCAGCAATTGTCTCTTGAAAACATGCTAAACCAAACGCCACTGGCACACGGAGTTGCAACGACCCTACCGGATGCGTTTCGTGTGCGTATTACACGAAAAACATGCTGCCAAAACCAAACGCAACGACTTTCACAGGTGAGAGTAGGGGTCCCTCTGCTTTGACAACAGATCCGAGTTCGAGCTTGAAGCCGGGAAGGCACCCCCCTCAAGCCCTCAGCAAAACCTCCTTGCCAGCCGTGGGCAGAGAATGCGTCAAGTCGCAATTACTGTATGTCTGTGTGCGCGTGTGCGTGTGCGCGTGTGCGCGCGTGCGCGTGTGCGCGTGTGCGCGTGTGCGCGTCTGTGTGTGTCTTGGTCGGTCTTTCCCTACCCTTTGGAAGGGGACCAAAAGGCACACTTTGGGGCCATCAAGGAACGCAGTTGTTCAGTGACCCTGGGAGAAAAAAGGGAACCCTTTTTGGGGAAGACCAGTTTTAGTGCGGCAGCCACCCCCAAAAAAGAAAGAAGAAAAAAAGTGCCACTGAAGAACTGAGGTTTGACGCATCGCCAAGGGGCTCAATTTCCACATCCCAAATCGTCACATGACCATTCGCCTTCGCAGATGTCTTGGATCACGAGTTGATGGGTCCCATGTGGTTACACGAAGTCAGGGACTTCCGAGGGGATGGGAAGACCCAAGCAATAGGTGTCAGACAAGTAATCACGATCTCCTAGGTTTCAGACAGGTAATCAGGATGGGGAACCCTCAGGCCCTACTGGGACAATGTGCCGAAGGGAGCCACAAAGTTGTCATAAGCCTCGCAGTCTACAGAAGTTGACCAAAATTAGAGCTGCTTTTGAAGAGAACCATGGTACACATCTTACTCATGTTGAACGCGGCACATGTGCATAAGGTTTCGAAGATGTTGATATCACTATCGAAGGATCAAAAAGCAGCGTCGCTGTGGGCGCTGTGGGCGCTTGGCGCCATATGGCGCCACATGGCGCCACATGGCGCCACAAGCCATGTATTCCCTGTAATAAATTTGACACCTCTAGCTGAATATTTCTCAGACCTAAAGGATCTATAGGCGATGTTGTTGCAGTTTGCATTTGTACTGAACATCAAAATCAAGCAAGCTGTTCCCCTTTTGGTCCACATGAGATTTCTGTTCTCATTGCGTTTGCCTTCGGACACCTGCGTTAGCACTTAACAGACGTGCCGCAGCCAAACTCCCCACCTAAGACTAAGTGTGCGGAGCTTCGGAAGGCCATGCACACCCCAGGCCAACTCGTGACAAATCAATAGCTTCCGGGACCAAACGAACAAAGCCGCGAATTGCGCAAGCTTTCTGCAGCTTCCTGCTGTTTCCGCTGGTCGTGTGGGAACCTAAGTAGCGAAGCCAAATGTCCCTTCTGAGAAGGAGGGGGGGCTGAGTTGAATGAATGGATAGCCTCTAGAGGTGGGCCCTGAAATTGGATGCGTGGAGAAAAAAGACTCCTAGATCCCAACAGCCCCTTGCAGATGAACCATTGCATAAGCGCCTCATTTGCAAAAACAAGCAAACACGTGAAACGTCGCCTCTTAAGCAAATTTACGTCAGTGTGCCAAACGCGCTCAATCACCTTGCAGCTAGAGAATCAGACGGACTCAAACGAACGGAGCACACCCACCAAAGCAACAAAGCCAACCAAACTAAACATTGCGATTGGTCAGAACAACATACTCGCACAAAAAGCAACAAGCTGCCACAAAGCAAACGAGTAAATGCCATCAAAGGGAAACATATACATGACGCACTGGAACAATTCCACGTGCGGGGAACCAAAGAAACAAGCAAACTTGCCCCCCCCCCCCCTCCCAGAAAAACATAAACCAATTAAAGGACCGGATAACCCCACATGCTATGTTTTTCCCAAATGTCCACACACATGTACCGTGCGCCCCTTGTATGGATGCGATTACAGAGCACCCAGATGCACAGAATGCAGCGCCTGCCACGACTTCGGCAACGGCATCGCCAAAGTGCTGCGCCTGCCACGATTTCGCAACGGCATCGCCAAAGTGCTGCGCCTGCCACGATTTCGCACACCCCCCGCCGCGCGCGCGACAACATCCTGTCCCTCTAGACAGCTGCCGAATGCGACCCCTGCCACACAAACACACACCCAGATGCACAGAATGCTGCGCCTGCCACGACTTCGGCAACGGCATCGCCAAAGTGCTGCGCCTGCCACGATTTCGCAACGGCATCGCCAAAGTGCTGCGCCTGCCACGATTTCGCACACCCCCCGCCGCGCGCGCGACAACATCCTGTCCCTCTAGACAGCTGCCGAATGCGACCCCTGCCACACAAACACACACCCAGATGCACAGAATGCTGCGCCTGCCACGACTTCGGCAACGGCATCGCCAAAGTGCTGCGCCTGCCACGATTTCGCAACGGCATCGCCAAAGTGCTGCGCCTGCCACGATTTCGCACACCCCCCGCCGCGCGCGCGACAACATCCTGTCCCTCTAGACAGCTGCCGAATGCGACCCCTGCCACACAAACACACACCCAGATGCACAGAATGCTGCGCCTGCGGCACGAGTGCTGCGCCTGCCACGATTTCGCAACGGCATCGCCAAAGTGCTGCGCCTGCCACGATTTCGCACACCCCCCGCCGCGCGCGACAACATCCTGTCCCTCTAGACAGCTGCCGAATGCGACCCCTGCCACACAAACACACACCCAGATGCACAGAATGCTGCGCCTGCCACGACTTCGGCAACGGCATCGCCAAAGTGCTGCGCCTGCCACGATTTCGCAACGGCATCGCCAAAGTGCTGCGCCTGCCACGATTTCGCACACCCCGCCGCGCGCGCGACAACATCCTGTCCCTCTAGACAGCTGCCGAATGCGACCCCTGCCACACAAACACACACCCGATGCACGCGCCTCCTCCTGTCCCTGCGCCTGCCACGACACGCGACAACATCCTGTCCCTCTAGACAGCTGCCGAATGCGACCCCTGCCACACAAACACACACCCAGATGCACAGAATGCTGCGCCTGCCACGACTTCGGCAACGGCATCGCCAAAGTGCTGCGCCTGCCACGATTTCGCAACGGCATCGCCAAAGTGCTGCGCCTGCCACGATTTCGCACACCCCCCGCCGCGCGCGCGACAACATCCTGTCCCTCTAGACAGCTGCCGAATGCGACCCCTGCCACACAAACACACACCCAGATGCACAGAATGCTGCGCCTGCCACGACTTCGGCAACGGCATCGCCAAAGTGCTGCGCCTGCCACGATTTCGCACACCCCCCGCCGCGCGCGCGACAACATCCTGTCCCTCTAGACAGCTGCCGAATGCGACCCCTGCCACACAAACACACACCCAGATGCACAGAATGCTGCGCCTGCCACGACTTCGGCAACGGCATCGCCAAAGTGCTGCGCCTGCCACGATTTCGCAACGGCATCGCCAAAGTGCTGCGCCTGCCACGATTTCGCACACCCCCCGCCGCGCGCGCGACAACATCCTGTCCCTCTAGACAGCTCTAGACAGCTGCCGTGAGTGAGTGAGTGAGTGAGTGAGTGAGTGAGTGTGAGTGAGTGAGTGAGTGAGTGAGTGAGTGAGTGAGTGAGTGAGTGTGAGTGAGTGAGTGAGTGAGTGAGTGAGTGAGTGAGTGTGAGTGAGTGAGTGTGAGTGAGTGTGAGTGACTGAGTGTGAGTGAGTGTGAGTGAGTGTGAGTGAGTGAGTGAGTGAGTGAGTGAGTGAGTGAGTGAGAGTGAGTGAGTGAGTGAGTGAGTGAGTGAGTGAGTGAGTGAGTGAGTGAGTGAGTGAGACGGCGGGAGAAGGAGGAGACGCGGCGCGCGGACGACGAGCGGAAAAAGTAAGAACCCCACACAAAGATGTGGGGAACAAAACGAATCAGACAAATCACGCCCCCTAAATTGCCCTGGATCGCCCACCTCACCGGCAGCCACCAAGCCCAGGAAGGGGGAGGTCGCCAAAGCCAAGACGTGGCTTTGGCAGTGGAGGACCTTCTTGGCTTTGCCTTGGCCCAGTTGTTCAGTGACAATGGAAAAAAAGGGAACCCTTTTTGGGGAAGACCATTTTTAGTGGGGCAGCCACCCCCAACAAAAAAAAGAAGGAAAAAGGGACAATCTCGCACCTCTTGGGATAGTGGTAAACCCCGAGGCAAACAACTCATCCCAGCTGCTGTGTTTTGTGGATTGGATTCATCGCAAAGGGAGCCATGGAAGGGCCCTCAAGGGTTTCTGACATAAGTCCCAACATTTAAGACGTACATATATATATATATATTGTGTAGCTCCATGTTGTTGGTGCATGTAACAATGAGACCTTTTTTTTGTGGACTTGCAGGGAAATTCCTTGAGGAACACATCCAAAAGCTACCTGCTGTAGCAGGGAATCCTGTAAACCGGCTGGCAAAGGTGATCTCTGATCCGGCACCTTGGTATGTGTGGGGCTCCTTTTGCCTTCCCTCCTTTACACCAAACAAAGTGTGCCGAGCCTACAAAACCCAGGTCCTTCCAGCTTGGTTGCTGTAACGACCCCTCTGCAAAAAGTTGATTTCACTTTTTGTGGATCAAGTAGCAATCAAGTCATGTGCTTGAGTCTTTGCATTGCAACCGCTCCTCAACCAGCCCAATGGTTTCCCAATGGGTTTCCCAAGTCCAAAGATCCGTTACCAAATGGCCATTGCCAAGTTGCATGTCTCCATGTCCCAGACCGTCACCTGAGGAAAGGGGGAGCCAAGCGACTGGCTTTCCTTGGGCAAAGGGGCTAAAAAAAGGCGTGGGAACCACTTTGTGCTTGTTCTTGCCTTTTTCGAGCGAGATGACACCCACCAAAAGGCGATTTACTGGGTGCCATTGAGCAACTAAACCTTCTGGGACGCATCCTTAACAACCATGAACTAGAATTCACAAAAACCAGGGGTCCCAAAAGGTAGGGTATCCATCATGCATGCTCCTTCCAACTGCCTCTGCAGCCACAAAAGGAGTTGCAGTTGATAAAGTCCCTTTGAAACCAGGGAACAAAAAATCAAGGACGGCAAATTGAAGAGCAGTTTTAACACAAATTGCCATTTGGTTCAAATTGCTTTGAACACAGTCCACGTTCGTGTTTGAAGGGGTGTGGCTCGTTTCCCACAGGGGGCCCAGGGTCTGATTGCTGGAGCCGCAATGGGATGTGCCGACAGGAACTTCCTTTCGGGTCCTGCTCGGCTTCGACATCGCCTCGGCTACCGTTTGTTTGCCTAAGCTTCCTTGCCCATTTCGGTGTCTTGGACAACCTTTCGGAGCAAAGCAGGGGCCATTCCCAAAACAGGAACCTCCATCCAAAGAATTTGGCATGTTTGGCACTGCTGGCTCGCCCCGTGGCAAATACTGCAACAGGGCGATTTGCTTGGTGCCGTTTCCTCGTTTCCTCCCCCCCCCCCCAGTCCATAAACATGGAAAAAAAGTCAGTCATCCGGGGCTGACGGACGGGGAAGGCAACTAAGCCCGAGAAAGAATATAGCCCCCGGTTAACTGGGAGGGGGCGTCAGACCCAAATAGTTTAGTGGAAAACACCTTTATTTCCCAAAAAGTTAAAGTCTAAAGATCCAACCCAATAGCAGTTAAGGAGGGGTCCTAGTGACTAGCCCATGGCATTTCTGCCCGCCTTGAAGGCGGAATCCCCGGTGACGATGGCCCGGCCCATGGTGCCGTTCTCCGTGGCGGGGATCAGCTTCTGCAGGATCTCCCCGTTGTCCAAATGCGGGATGTCCCGGATGTACGGGGGGATGAACCAATACGAGAGGCAGTGAACCTGGAAAGGCGTTGTGCCTGAGTCTGCCACTGTTTTAAGGGTTGATTCCTTTTCCATTCTGTTCAACCATCGTTCTTTTCAAAAACCAGCTGTCTTTCCAGGGTTTTTGGTGGTTTTCTGGAAAGAAGGATCCCTGGAAAGAATGGGGAAGCTACCCTTAGAACTATAGATCTACCTCACGATTTCTTCACAAGGGTGGCAACTTAAGCCCCTTCCAATTCTGAGGGAATAAACGCACTTCCCGAGTGGATGGCCCAAAAAGGTCCAAACTGGTTGTTTACCACTAAAGTGGTCCAGCCCCACAAAAGTAAACAGTCCAGGAACTCGGGAAGTGAGGTACAACTGACCTTTAAAGACCACCAGTGCAAAGAGATGGTGCAAACTCGGCCCGCGCAAAGGATCAGCACCCAACCAACATTTTTGTTCAAGTGACCTCTGACTGAAATTGAAAACACATGCCAACAACATACTTCACACACCACGGAAAAAGGGTAAACCATCTATACCAACTGCTGCATTTGCAGTATCCACCGCGAGACCTGAGAAGGCAAGAAGAAGTTCGTTTGAAAAGCGCATTTTTGGGTCTCCGTATTTTGACACACACCCATAGGTATTGTTTGAAAGGCTTTCATTTGCTTAGGAATACTTTTCATGTTCCCCTGTTGTTTTAATGGTTTCGCATTTTTTCCAGGGGGCTTAACGCAAGTAGAAAAAAAAAGAGGTCAGATCTAGACACCATCCCCCCCCACCCCCTGCCTGACATAGGCCGAAGCAACAGATTGCCGCGGCCAGCGGCAGAATGGCTCCCAAAAAAGGGGATCCGCGACCAGGGGAAAAAAGGCCGTCTCCAACTCCCCCGGCCGCTTTTTCTTGTTCAAGAACACTCGGTTGCCTTCTGCTCCCCTGCTAAAAGTGAATAACTTCTAGTGGTTTAATGGCAAACCCATTAGTTGCAAAAAGAAAGTTAAAGTCCTGACATCCTAGCAAAATGCAGCAAAGAACAGGTAGCTGTGACTGATGCTGCCACCCTCAAGTCTGCCCGACCCTGTTGAAGTAGTCCCTGCCAGTGTGCCGTTTTTAGGGAATGCCTAGACTTCAACCCCTGAAATAATTTCCTTTCCCAGTGCTTGGACTTGAGTCTGTCTTCGTCACAAAACGGTTCACCGGTAAAAAAAAATGAGCATCCCCACCCTTTGCTTCAATTTCCCGTTTCACCCCCTGCAAAAAAAATAAGAGCAAATATGTCCAGCGGTGAAATCCATTCCCTTTTACCACCAACGGCAGTTTAAACAAGACCAATATTCGTTCCCAACGCAGATGGTAGCTTAGTGGGACAGCCCACTAAAACCTCCCAACTCCACAAGCCCCAACCCCCCCCCCCCGCCCCGCAACCCACCCCCAACCCCCCCAACCCAACCCCCCCCATCCAAAGCCCCCGGTGCTTCTTAGCCCTGGCGTTCCGATCGCCCCCCCTCCGACGGTGCGAGGGGCCATGGCATGGCACCAAATCACCGCCAGCTGCACGCCCCGGGTGAGGTCCCAAAGCACCACCGTGCCGTTCTCCTCCCCGGACACCACTGCCTGGCAACATTGCCTTTTTCTCCATACCTTAAGGGGGAGGGGGGCGGGGCCCAAGGTCCCCCAATCAAACATGCATCTAGAATTCCGAACCCATAAGGGAAAATGAAACCATACATGTTTTTTTTAGGGTCGACGTTCCCCTTCCCCAGTTCCCTTCGCAGGGGGTGGGGATGGCTTTTTTGTCCGTGATGGTTTCGATCATAATCAATCTTGCCCGAAATCGTGAAGATTCTAGACTTCCATGTGGCAATTCACGAACTTAGAAGAAAGTACTATGTTGTCTGCTTTCGGTGAGCTCGCAAGTTGATGTAAATCTTTGACGAAGGAAGTCGACAACGTGCCCGACAAGTTTTAGTCCAATAATCTGAATCGCGGTTCGGGTTTGGTTCTCCTTTCAACTTTATAAAGGGTGCCAAAGAATTTGATCCCACTTGAGATTTCAAAGGGGGACCGGATTTGATCCCCCCATTCAGATTTGACCTTTCAGCTTCATAAAGAATGGTCCATCATCCTGGGTACCTTCCCTGGCAGAAAGCCGAAGTCCTCGAGGCAAGCTGCTGGCCCCGTGCATCTCAGCGCCCAACATTTGGTTCTACCATCCCTGGGTTGAGATAGATCATACCATAAGCTCAGTTGGCCCCCAAACAATATATATGGCGATCACCTTTTGGGACCACCAAAAATGGTTGCCCACATGGGAAACCAAACTCTCAGATCCGGTTGATTCGCCTTGGGCAACTGAGTAAATCCCAAGCCAGGTTCACCATAACATCATAACCAACATCGGGATGCGGGCCGTGGTCGTTTCTCCAATGGCTTGAGCCTTCTGGCTATACCCCGGAGGGCCACGCCGTTGGCCTCGATCTCCACCGGAGATCGGCAGCAGTCGAACAAACACACCAGCGATCACAAGCAAACAAACACGCAAGGAAAGAAACAAGTTGCTGGTGCGGTAGGTAGGGAATGTGGGTGTATATTGTTCAGTCCCATTCCCTGCTGAGCACCAACAAGACATAGAAACAACGACGGCGCAACTCTTGCTTTCTACGTCCATGGAACAAGGCTTCCTCATACTTCGCTTGGAAAAATCAAGGCAACAATATCGCGCGAGCTTGGCCCAAGTATGCTTACAGCTGGCTTCAAGGGACATACGTGTGTCTTTCTTTGCAGGCATTACTTTTTGGGTTGGTTGGTTTGAACTTCGACCCAGGGAGTTGGGGGATTCCCCTCTTGAGGGGCAGCCGGTTGTGTGTTGTTAGCTGTTCGGCGCGCGGAAGAAAAAGAACCGCGCCAAATGGGACCCGAAGCTTTCGAGTTTGCAGCAAGCCTTCAAGGACAGGGCATAGTCCAAGCAGGACACAGCGCTGCCACAACCTCAAAAACAAAGCTGCGCGAATCGGGGCGACATGGCACATTGTTGCCTTGCATTGCCAGTGGGAAACCCAAGCCCAAAACAGTCACTACGAAAAACACTTGCGACATCTTGCGACAATTGCGGACCCTTTGAGAAAAAAAGCGGGTCCAACATTGGAGGGTGCCACTGAAAAACTAAGTGATTGGGGGGGTTCGCCCACTACAGTTTTGCCCAACGCAAAAGAATGCACCGCATCAATACCGCAGCATTAATTAAACAAAAATACCCTCCCAGGAACAAACACCTACCCAGGCTCCATGTCGACAAGGATCATTGCCTTCCCGCTTTCGGGGTAATTGCACATCCATGCATGGTGGGGTGAATGCTAATGAACCCGAATGCGTAGGGGGCCCGGCGATTTTGTCGTTTTGGAAACAACAGGCGGACCTTTCGGGTCCCGCTGAGGGGTGCCTATTTCGGTGCCCAACGAGTACCATGCACGGTGTTTTCAGCAGGAAGCGATCAAGCTGGCCACAAAAGCTCTTGGCTGGCAACAGGCATTCTTTAATCACGGGGTGGGGGGGGGAGGGGGGTAATCAGGTGTGAACACAATGCTGGATATTTCTACGCACGCATGTTCACTACAATGAAGATTACGTTTAAACACAACCCCTTTATGGGGGGGGGTCTTCCAAAAGAGAATTTCTTTAAAGATTGCTTTTTGGGCGGGTTGAATGTTACTGTAAGGAAGTGTCTGCTTTTCGGCTTCCTTGCGTTTTGGGAGGAGCGCCTTTAAAGTCGCCCACAAGGTATGCATGGCCACAAAAACAAATAACATGCAAACCACATTGCAAATACTGCTGCAAAGCCAATTCCCTGCATGACCTCTTTGCTGTGCAAAAACCACTAAACACAGCATACCACCGTGTTAGGCAACAAGGCTTGACAAGCTCATTCAGGGTACCCCGGTACCCCCCTTCAAGGCAAGTCCTAATAATGCAAAACAGGACCATGAATCCTGGCACTCTCCAGCACTGGGAACAAATCCCAGCTTCCCGTTCACTTCCTGCTGCCGTATTAGCCAGACAGGGAGAGGACCGATTCGAGAGGACGGCAAACGACTGGACTCCAAAATCTGTTTGTTTCTTCTTTTTTTCGGGACCTTCTCGACCTTGAGAGGGGAGAAACTCATCAGGGGCAAAAACTACCCCTGGCATCGCCACCCTTGTTACAGTTACCGAACTTTCAGGGATGTACCGTGGATGGACAACATCTTGCACCAGCCTAGCAAGTTCTGACGCGTCTTGGCTGCGCTTTCTGGGGGCTGTAAGCGGTCTACCAGACTGCGGCTGCCTTTGGTTGTGTGTCTGAGGCCTCCACTCATCTCTCGCCTTGCTGCACCAGTGTTGATGTCCCACACCAGGATGCTGCCATCCTGAGCCGCCCAGAAAGCACATGGTGGAATCTACCTTGGGACCTGATTTAGGCTCTTTCTCAGCTGGCTTGTGCCCTCTCTGGCACCCACCTACGACGAAGTCCTGCACCACTTTGAAACCATGGTTGAAGCCATTGTTGGTTGAAATTTGCCGGGGAATCGCATCATTCCGTTGGGCTTTTTTGACCGGTGGTGCGAAATCTCAATTCGCCCATCCACGGCAGGGCTTCCTTTTGGAAAAGTCCACCCAGACCGCGCCAAAGACCAAAGGCAAGCGCCAGATCTGGCAAGCCTCCCGGCCACCCACAATTGCGCACTGCAGGTGTGAGGCGTAAGTCAACGCCTGGCGGGACGCTGAAGACTGCCAGGACAAAGTTCACAGGTACCACCAGGCCGTTGGAACATACCCCTTTAAGGAGAAGACACACATCAACAGTAAATTAGGGGTAAATCAGCTCTACACAAGGCTGGGGGTTCACTGGGATAAGTCTTTGAGTTTTGCAAGTGGGTCGACAAACTCGGAGGCCGCCGTAGAAGAACAAGGGGAAAAAGACTAGCAATCTCATGATCTCAATGCATCGAACCCGGATATACCTTAACAGCAGACTTTACACTGCCTTTGCGCCATCAGAAAGAAAAAGGCGACAAAACCGAAGTCAAGCCTTGCTCCATGTAAGTTGCCTGGTTCCTCCAAGGAAATGACCGGACCGGGGTCTGATGCCAAGCTTGAGATGAGGGCATTTGCCCGCAATCAAAGCCCCGCATGTTGGATCCACTGCCATCGTATGGTACCCAAAGTCATGTTGGGCCTTGATGCTGGCCCCTCTTCAGCTGATAACAAAAATATTGCCACAAGTGAAGGGCTACCGCTTCAATGGAACCCCCCATTCATCAGCCAGGGTGGTAGCAATAGGTGAGGTGGGATCAGCATGAGAAAAAAGTAGCTCCTCTTGCAACTCGTGAACCTTCACAATTTGGGCAGTGTCAAAATGGGGAGATCTCTGAAACGGTTCGTGCAAACGGCAATTTCCTCAAAGTCTTTGGCGAACGGGATCCAAAGGGGCCATGGGGTGTCAGAAAACGGGGAACAACCAAAAGTGAGTTTCCTGCTGGTTGCCCTTCAACACTCCAAAAGGGGGTACTAACCCTATGGAGCAAACAAACTAGCTATTGAACCGGCGCGAAGCGCATTTAAGACCATCCAAACTACAAAAGCCCGGAATAACGCGGATTCATAAACTGCTGGTTGATGAATACGGGGTGTCCCCTGTTAGGTCCCCTGCCCACTTAAAGGACAGGCTTCTTACTCTGGAGTCGCTGGAAAGCAGGGTGTGCTCAGAGCCATTCGGGTGTGTCGTGTTTTGCGGGTACCGGTGGTGTGGTCTTAAGAGGAGGCCACAAGGAAAACCACCATTTTGTTTGTGAGAGGAAGCCACAAGGAAAACCACCATGGGACAGTCTGTTCCCCACCCGACAGGAAGGGGTCGTTAGATTTTATGTTGGAATCCGCGTTTGCGATGCTTCTACGCCACGCCCCCACCCAGTATCCCGCCAGAGCAGCTGGCCAGTGCTCGCCAGTGGATCCCACCAGACCAGCCCGCCGGTGGATCCCGCCGAGTATCCCGCTGAATCCCAGAGTAGCTCGCCAGTGGATCCCGCCGAATATCCCACCAGAGCAGCCAGCCAGCGGATCCCGCCGAGAACAACACAGTGCAAACTCGTAAAATTATACCTGTCATATCCCGCTGACTATCCCAGAGCTCGCCACTGCATACTCGGCAAGATCCACCGGCGTATTCAGCGGGATGCTTGGCGCGATTTATTGGTGAGTTACTCTGGGATACTCAGCGGGAGGCTCGGCGGGATCCACTGGCAGGCTGCTCTGGCTGACAAGCTACTGGCCAGCTGCTCCGGCGGGATCCTTCTCTGGGATACTCAGCGGGATACTCAGCGGGATCCACTGGCAGGCTGCTCTGGTGGGATACTTGGCGGGATCCACTGACGAGCTACTCTGGCGGGATATTAGGCGGGATCCACTGGCGAGCCGGCGGGCTGCTCTGGTGGGATACTCGGGTTTACATTTCATGTTGGTGCCTTCGTGTTTTGAGTGTACACTAAGGCTCGGAAAGGGTGACGCTTTTGTGTTGCCTTGGGCTGAATAAGCAACTTCGTTTAATCCCTCGTCGGGTTTCTTTTTGGAAGGAGCGTGGCTCTTGTTAGCGGAACCGATGTTTGAGTTCTCGAGATCGGCTCGCAGACAAGTGGAGTTTGACACACAGACAGGTGGATAAGGCTCTCAATGCAAAGCTTGTTGAGTAGGCCCCAAGCCACTCGAAAACCATGCTTGAATTCACACAACCGTGTTCCAGGTCGTAAGCTCGTGAGTGTGGCGGGTGGGGATTGCTCGAAGCGAAGATTTTTTTTGTTGGGGGGGGGGGGGTCTGCTGAAAACGACACCCTCATGCCGCCTGCAAGACGCTGCGGCTCTGCATCCCCCGCAGGCACTGGCCGGTCGAGCACTCCCAAGCCGCCAGCTGGCGGGAGGTGCAGCTGAGGAGCACATTGGCCTCAAACCCGAGGCCAAACTTCCATTTGCTTAAGCCTTCTGGAAAGAACACAAATATTTGCAATAGTGAGATGGAAGCACGGGAAATCATTTCTAGGGTTTGATTCCCCATTCTTGTCAACCATTTCCAAAAACCAGATCCGTTTTCCCGGGGTTTCCGGAGATTTCTTAGAAAGAAGGATCCCTGGAATTAATGGAGAAGGTGCCAGCCTCGCTTCCATATGGGCTTCTCCATTTCTTTTTCGAGTCCCCCACATTCCTGGGTTTTCCTTTTGTTTTTGTTCTTTAAAACCAGCAACAAAAGGGTGCCCTTGAAAAAAGACGCACCCATATTTGATTCCAAGAGGCTACCAATCCTGGCCTGCATTTAAATAGCTTACGGTCTTACAAGCATGTTTTTTTGCAATAAAAACTGCAAATGTTTGTGTGCAATCACGGTAACAATGATGAATAAGTCGTGATGAGCAGGCGTTGATGTTCGTGTAAAATCACGGTAACAAGGCAGAAGTCGTAAGGAGCATGTAATGATGTTTGTATACAACTGGTCAAAATGATGAATACGCGCTGATGTTCATGAAAATTTGGAAAAACAAAGCATGTCCCCCTTTGCACCACAAGGATTCCCAGGTCCATTCCCCCTTTGCCACCTTGACACCCACTTGCGCCACATACAGCAGTTTTTCCCCTTCGCACCACAATAATTTCCAACGCATACCGCAGTTGCCACAAGAATAGCCCTTGTATACTGCAGATTTCCCCCTTTGCACCACAAGAATTCCCGCAGTTTTCCCCTTTTGCACCGCAAGAATTCCGCCTGTATACAAAATTCTTGTGGCGCGAAGGTGGAAAACTGTGGTATACAGTGCGAATCCTTGTGGTGAGCAGGTGGAAAACTTGCTTGTGGTGCAAAGAAGGAAATTGCAGTATGTGTGGGAAATCCTTGTGGTGCACAAGGGGAACTGCGGCATGCAAAGCGAATTCTTGTGGCGCAAAGGTGGAAAACTGCGGTGTACAGTGAAAGCTCTTGTAGGGGGGAGACTGCGGTACACAGGGCGAATTGTTGTGGTGCAAAAAGGAGAAATTGCGGTGCGCAGGGGGAATTCTTGTCGTGCAAAGGTGGGTATACAAGGGAAATCCTTGCGGTGCCAAGGGCGAAAGCATGGGCATCATACGGGGCCATCTTGTGGTGCAAAGAGGGAAAACTGCGGTAAACGGGTGGAATTATTGTGGTGCAAAGGGGGAAACTGCAGTATACAAGTGACATGCGGCATGCAAAGAAATGCAAAAACAAACAAAGGAAAGCTGTGGTGTACACAGAAAATATCGTGGTGCAAAGAGGGAAACTGTGGTAAGCAGGGCTAAGACTGCCATACACAGAGGAGATTCTTGTGGTGCAAAGCTGGAATTTGTGGTATACAAGGGAAATCCTTGCGGTGTCAAGGGGGCAGCATGGGTATCATACGTGTACACAGGTGGAATTATTGTGGCGGAAAGGAAAGCTGCGGTATACAAGTGGAATTATTCTAACGCAAAAAAAAGGAAAATTGCGGTATACATGTGGAATTATTGTTGTGCAAAGGGGAAACTGCACACAGGTGAAATCATTGTGGCGCAAAGGGGGAAAACTGCGGTGTGCAGCAGAAATTCTTGCGGCGCAAAGAGGGCAAAGCGCAGTGTATAGGGGGAAGTGCTGTGGTGCAAAGGCGGGAAACTGCGGTATACAGGCAAAAAGGCTGTGGTGCCGAGAAGGAATCCTGCCGTGTGCAGGGGAAGTGCCCAGCTTGCACCCCGCAAGGTTTGCCAGTTGCTTGCGGGGCTTCTCGGCCTTCTGGACCAATGCCTCTTGTGTCAAGATGGCCGTGTACCCGCGCTGGCTGCCGCCGTTGAAGGTGCCGAGGCAGACCTCACACAGCTCCCGCAAGGTTCCTTTGCCTGTTGAACCTTGGCCATCATCAAGGTAGCTGGCAAACTCCGTGAACACGCCACGGCCGGTCACAGGCCCCATCACCAGGCGAAGCTGAAACACCGCTGCATCCCAATCATGGTCATCCCCGACCTCCACAGCAGCCTCCTGACCCTTCAAGGCCTGCATTGCCTCCACCCGATCGCCCCAAGGATACCCAAAAAACAACCTGTGCTTGCCGTCCTTGTCTATGCCCCACGTGGGCGTGCTCAGGACCTTGCAGAGCGCGACCTGTCAGGGGGGGAGGATGGTGTGTTGCGGGAAAGGTTTACGGGGCAGACGGGAAAATTTTTGGAGAGAAAAAAAACGAGCCTCAAGAGCTCGCCCCGGCAGTACTTCTGCCCGCCGGACTGCAGCCAGACACCCATGTTCTCGTCGAAGAACCCGTGCTCCCCGGAGTTGTAGTTGTACTGGCACGGCAGCTCGTCCTCCACGCAGATGGCATAGTCCAAGTGCGGCATCGGGGGCGGTTTTGACACACTCCTGCCTTCTTCATGTCCAGCCACCGTCTTGCATACTCCCGCGCATCGTTCCCCCGCGTCTGTCGCATCGTCATGGGCTCCTGTGGCGCAAAACTGCGGTATACACGGGAAACCGCTGTGGTGCAACGGTGCAAAACTTGATAAACAAGGGACATGCAGGACAGTCAAGGCTCCACTCGGGACTGGAGCGCTTGGAGGCTGCGGCCCGATGGCAGCGCTGGAACTGGACGAGCTGGCGCCGCCGCCACTCCTCCGCCGAATCGCAGGCTGCGTGACTGACTGGCTGGCGCTGCTGCGGTTTGAGCCGCGCGCTGCGGGGCAGCGGAGCATGCATTTTTTTCATTACAAAAACAACGCTGTGTAGCTGTGCACTTAAGGGTTTTATGGGGCGCCATGCCACCCCTTAGAACAGTTGGTACCGCTCCGGACTGCCCTAACCCGCCTCAAACCGCAGCAGCGCCAGCCAGTCAGAGTCACGCAGCCTGCGAATCAGCGGAGGAGTCCAGTTCCAGCGCTGCCATCGGGCTGCAGCCTCCAAGCGCTCTAGTCCCGAGTGGAGCCTTGGCTGTCCTGCATTTCCCTTGTTTATCAAGTTTTGCACCGTTGCACCACAGCAATCTCCCGTGTGTACCGCAGTTGTGCGCCACAGGCATTTCCCCTTAGGCCCTTTGCACCACAGCCATTTCGCCTGTACACAGCACTTCCCCCTATACACTGCGCTTTGCCCTCTTTGCGCCGCAAGAATTTCTGCTGCACACCGCAGTTTTCCCCGTTTGCGCCACAATGATTTCACATGTGTACTGCAGTTCCCCCCTTTGCACCACAATAGTTTTATTCCACAATAATTCCACCTGCAAACCGCAATTTTCCCCTTTGCACCACAAAATTCCATCTGTGTACCGCAGCCTTCTCCCTGATGCACTACGAGAAATCGCCCCGTATGATACGCATGCTTCCCCCTTGACACCACAAGCATTTCCCTTGTGTTCCACAATTTCCAGCTTTGCACAACAAGAATCTCCTCTGTGTATCTTTCCCCCTTGGCACCGCAAGGATTTGCCTTGTATACCGCAACTTCCCCCTTTGCACGACAAGAGTTCTCCCTGCGCACCGCAATATTCCCCTTTTGCGCCACAAGAATTCGCCCTGTGTACCGCACAATGCGCACCGCAGTTTTCCACCTTTGCGCCACAAGAATTCGCTTTGCATACCGCAGTTCCCTTTGTGCACCACAAGAATTTCCCACACATACCGCAATTTCCTTTGCACCACAAGACTGCCCCTGTCCCTTTATGCTTAAGTTTTCCCCCTGCGCACCACAAGAACTCTGTATACAACAGTTCTCCCCCTTCGCACCACAAGAATTTCCCACGCATACCGCGAATTCCTTCTTTGTCATCTTTTGTGTACTGCAGTTCCCCCTTTGCACCACAAGAATTTGCCCTGTATACCACAGTCTCCTCCTGTGCACCACAAGAATTCCCCATGTATACTGTATACCGTACTTTTCCCCCTTTGCACCAAAAGAATTGCCGTTTACTGCAGATTCCCCCCGTTGCACCACAAGCAATTGTCCCTGTCCTGTTTATGTTGCGGAGCGAGGCGCGACGTGCAGCCTTGCGCATCCGGCACGCCCGAGCTGGAGGCGGCGCAGCCAGCCTACATCGCTTTCGGCGCCTGCAACTTGTTCTCCTGCGCGTGTTGGACCGAGGTTTTGCGGGGCGCTCACATCAAAGGGCGAATTCCACCCTGGGCGGTCTCCGCGGCTTGCTCGTGTCTACTACTACATGGCTCAGTCCGCTCAAAATGAGATTGCCGAACCTTTGGGACTTCTGCGCCAGGAGGATCTAAACCTGCGACGCCGTGGGCACCCCGTCCAGAACCTTGTTCTTGCCGTCCGCGCGCACCACCACTGCGGTACACAGGTTTAATATGTGGCACTGGTGCAAAGGGGGAAACTGCAGTACACCAGTGAAATTATTGTGGTGCGAAGGGGGAAAGCTGCGGCATGCAAAGAAATCATGTGGTGCAAAAGGGGGGGAAACTGTGATACGCAGGGCTGATACTGACTGCCAGGTAGTGACGCCCACCCCTTGCAAGACTTGCAACACGGTGTTTGGACGTATGTCGACAGACCCGCGTCTGTGTATGTGTGCGTGTGTTAAGCAGGACGATCAAGCCCGCCTGGCCGCTGCTGCTCCGCTTACTGAATTTCAGGTGTGGAATCTGCGCGCACTGCCCCGCGAGGACCTTCAGCTGCTGGGACAGAAGCTGCGCCACGTCCCCGCGCAACTCAGGTGCAAGGTTCTCTGTGCTTCTGGGACCGTTCTGCAGAAGAAGACGCAGAAAGGGAAGCTAACCAGCTTCTGGGGGTGAGCGACCGTGCCCTGGCTGTTGGTATCCTCTTTGCGCGCCAACCTTGCGTTGTGACTACTTTCAAGACCCGACATTGACGGCACAAGGTGGCTCCAGCCGGCATGTGACCAAGGGAGGGTAGCTAGTGTGAGCCTGCCGACTGCGCGGTAAACGGGAAAACTGTCGTATGTGTTGCGGCGCTGAGGGGGGAGTTGAAGAGCGGAATTCATGTGGCGCAAAGCGGGAAAACTGGTGTATACAGGCAGAATTCTTGTGGCGCAAAAGCGGAAAAACTGCAGTAAACACGGGGAATTCTTGGGTGCAAAGTGGGGAGATTGTGGTGCAAAGGGGGAAACTGTGGTATGCGGGCGAACGTTTTGTGGTGCGAGGGGGGAAAACTGCGGTATAGCTTAGTGGCGCAAAGCGGGAAAAATGCGGCACAAAGGGGTTATTCTTGTGGTGCAAAAGGAATTCTTGTGGTGCACGGGAAAAACTGCAGTAGACAGGTGGAATTGTTGTGGTACAAAGGGGGAAGGGGGAAGCCTGCTGTATACAAGGGCAATTCTTGTGGTGCAAATGGGGAAACTGCGGTATGCGTGCGACATTCTTGTGATGCAAACGGGGAAAATTGCTGTATACAGGCGGAATTCTTGTGGCGCAAAAGAGCTGCAGTAGACACGGGAGATTCTTGTGTGCAAGGGAGGAAATCTGCTGTGCGCAGTGGCAATTCTCGTGGTGCAAAGGGGGAAAGTTACGGTAAAGGGGGAACTGCTGTACACAGCTCAACTGGGGGAAGCTGGATGATTTTTTGGTGGTGCAAAGGGGGGAAGCCACGCAATACAGCTGGACATCGCATGGTGCAAATGGGGAAAACTGCGGTATGCGTGCGAAATTCTTGTAATGCAAACGGGGAAAATTGCTGTATACAAGCGGAATTCTTGTGGCGCAAAAGAGGAAAACTGCAGTAGACACGGGAGATTCTTGTGTGCAAGGGAGGAAATCTGCTGTGCGCAGTGGCAATTCTCGTAAAGGGGGAAAGTTACGGTAAAGGGGGAACTGCTGTACACAGCTCAACTGGGGGAAACTGGATGATTTTTTGGTGGTGCAAAGGGGGGAAGCCACGCAATACAGCTGGACATCGCATGGTGCAAATGGGGAAAACTGCGGTATGCGTGGAAATTATTGTGGTGCAACTTGTGGTGCAAAAGAAGAAAACTGCAGCAGACACGGGGAATTCTTGTGGTGCAAAGGGGGAAATCTGCAGCGTTGGTATTTCTTGTGGTGCGAAGGGGGAAAACTGCTGTATACAATCGGAATTCTTGTGGCGCAAGTGAAAACTGTGGCGTCAAGGTGGCAAAGGGGGAACGTACTGGGGGAATCCTTGTGGTGCAAAGAAGGAAACGTTTTGTTTCTGCAGATTTGCATGAACATCAGCGCATATCCATCATTTTCACTAGTTGTACACCAACATCATTACATGCTCCTTACGACTTTTGCAGCCTTTTTACTGTGACTTTAAACTGTAAGACCGTAAACGTGGCCAGAATCATGGCTGTTTCCGTTAAAGACGTAGCAACCGCTATGGAAAAAAAACAAAACACCCCACCAAATGGAGTCAAAGCGCACGGCTTCTGGTGTTCTCAAAAATGTCTCTGGGTGGCCTTTTGGAACCACAAATTGGAGCTTTAAGCATATGGCTCACCCTGTCATCCATCTTCACGACGTCTTCACGTCTTGAGATGGAGGTTCTTCAGCCCTAGGCTTCCAAAGGACATTAAATAAATGGCCGAGGTGGCAAAGAACATTTTCTGGGAAGGCATTTTGTTGCTTAAATTTGGTTGGATCATGATTTTCACGAAAATCGCACTTAAAAGTAGCTGGAGGGGGCTGCACAGTCCCATTTTGCCGAGCTTGAGAGTGCTTCGTGCGCTTCGCACTGCCTTCTGCAGAAACTTGCCAACGTCAGCCACGGGGCACGGCTCGGGAACTGTTTATTTGATTTCTGCATATACTGGTCCAGCATACATCCATCGATCCATGCATGCATATTGGCAATTGCCAAGCCAAAAAATGAGCTACAAAGTCCTGTGAAGTCACGTGCCGCGAATTAACACCAAAATGGTGCAAAAATGGGATGTGCAGAAAATGTCTTTTCTACGGCAATAATTGGCCGTTCTACGGCAGAACATGTACTTTCTACGGCAGAACATGTACTTTCTACGGCAGAAAATGTACTTTCTACGGGTTGTCTACGGTTTGTCTACAGTCCCTTTCGGTCACAAGCAACGAGCAACGAGCTCAACAAATCTCGGCTTTACGACTCGACCTGATGTGAATATCCTGGCTTTGCTTCTGCAGAATCAAGTACCCCTGACTTACACCGTACTTTTCATAGCGGTTATTTGCTTGCCGATGGTTTTCCCGAATGGTTTCCCTCTGGTATGTCTATGATCTGGTTACGGTATGTCTATGGTTTGTCTATCGTCAATTTGCCCTGATCAGAGCACTCGAAGAAATTGAGCCCCCATAGTGGATGAGATGCAAAAAATGTCCCTTCTCGAGCAAAAAATGTCCGTTGTCCCAAGGACATTTATTTCATGGCCGAGGAAGTTCTGGGCAAGGGTAATTCGAAGACGCTCGCGTCACAGGTCAGGGCGTCCCTGGCCTTGAAGGAAAGGAAAGGCAAACCAACTGTTCAACGAAGCCGGGCAAAGGGGTCATGGAAAACCGGCTTTTTGCCAAGTTTCCGAGGTTGGGCTTTGTTCTTCTTGAGGATCAACCGCCAGCGCAACAGGCAACCAGTTTTGTGTGGTCCAATTCCTACGCTCTTCCCAAACAGTGTAAAAGTCCAGGAACTCAGGGAGCGAGTTGTTTGGTGTGCGCCCCCTCCCAACAGAGCTATTTCCTTGGCACCTTTCAACCTAGCAAATGCTAGGTCAAGTGAAGGACCTTCACGGGGCTGTACCCGCAAATCAGTGAGCTCGAAACTAACATCAGCAGCCAAAGACAGGTGAAACAACAAACCGGCCTCTGAAAATCGTCCATTTGGTTAAGGCCCCTAGAAAAATAAGAATATGTCCAGTAGTGATAGGTTCCCTTTGAAACCAACAGGGGAAAATAAACAATAGTCTTAAGCAAATGGAAGAAATGCTTTGTTGCCCCCGGGGGGGGCGAAAAAACGGAGGGCCGCAACCCCAAAAGACCTTTTGCAGCCCAATCCCCGCCTCCGGCGCGTATGCCAGGCCGAGCACCTCACTCGGTGCCATCCTTTCAGCTCAAAGCTCGGGTGCTGATCTCCCAGCAAAACAGTTTCTATTAGCATTATTTTTCTTATTATTCTTAAAAAAAAAAAACGGTTTGCAGATTAAAACGACATATGAAGGCCCAGGAAGGCTTCGGAAGGACTATAGAGGATCCTGTTCTGGGAACCATTCTGGGCCCTGAATTGGGGGTGTTCGCAAGTGAAGCGGCCACCCAAAAAGTAAGTTGCAAAAAAACACAAACATCACAAGCACACGCAAACATCTGGGAAGTGAGAAGCATCTGCACCTGCCACACAAGGGGCTGTTGAATTGCAGGCCAACGAACCCAGGGCCAATATGAGCTGTTCTTCTTTTCTGTTGGGAGCGTCTCATTTTTAGGGCCTAGGGCAAGCCACCCCATTTTGAGGGCCTCGGCATTTTGAAGCAAACCCTATTAAGTGTGGCCCTCTTTTGCCATCATTCACCCGTCTGAATTACGATTTCTGCGGGACCGTAGTGATGGGTCAGTCAAATCACTCATTTTGCCCGTCGGTTTCTAAACTAAACAGTGCACATGGCATGCGAGAAGGATTCCAGAACAAGAAAAGCGTAGCCTTCACTTGCGGACCCCGGAAATCAAACGAAAGAAGCAAACGCTGGTCCCGTCACTCGGAAACAGATGAGTCCCAGCGAGCGTAGCGATCGCTAATCACTGGGTCACTGGGTGCAAGCCTGGGCGGAATCTTCCCTAAACTCATAAAACCTAGTAGCCGCGGAGGCATATGGGTAACCTCAAAATGGAACCTTCATAAATGGAAGCAAGAACTAAAACCTGCGGATTGGAAACCCAGACCCAGATTTCCCGCAAAAGGAAGGATTGGATTTGGGTGGCCGACGTGCAGAATTACCAGTCGCCAGTTTCAGGAGGAAAGGGCAACCTGAAGTCCGAAGAGGGCCCGGCCCTGAGCCGCCGGGCAGGGCCGTCGCAATGCAGCTCCAACGTCGCCATGGCAACATGGAGCTTAGGGAATTTGCGAAATGTAGGTGTCTTAGTCATCCATTTACTTGAGTCCCCTGGAAAAAATCATTTTTCCAGTAGTTGTAGATTCCCTTTAAAGCCAGAAGGGGAAGATTAAAATAATCTTAAACATGTTGGCGGCTTAAGGGCACTCAACCATTTTGGGTGGTGCCCCTTGAAGAAGAAACGGGTGATGCGAGTGAGGCCGTCAACTTGATGTCTGGCCAGGTATCTGGGCGTCCTTTTGAAGGCACCCTTGTCTAGGTTGGCTTTGAGCACAAAGGGAACGCCATCATTTTTCTGGCTGCTGGCTGCCCCAATCTTGACGACATACCGGAGAGGCCCTTATACGACAGCCGAAAAACCTGCCAGTGCCAAAGGCTTGGCATAGAACACAACCAACCTCATGCGTCTGAAAGCCCACCCATTGCCCTTTGGCTATACCTCGTAGCCCTCAGTTTTCCTTCATGGTTGCTACCTCATTCCAGCGAGCTCCTTGGTAAGGTTGGCCCCATATTCATCAACCCCAGTCTATCAATAGGGGTGGGTGTGGGCCCCTCCATCAGTGGCCTGACTCCCTAAACCCAGCGATACCCCCCAGTAATAAACACAGGTCCACACAGGTTGATTAATACTGTGGGTGAAAAGAATCGGCACCACGAACCATGAAAAGCCACTGGTTGGCCAGGTCCTAAAGTAGAGAGGATAGAATAAGGGCACCCTTTTCTCTGTAGTCTATCTTAGTACGTGCCGGGCACATAGTCACCCGCACGTTTTTGCGCATGTCCTCGGCAGCTTGACAAGAATGCATGTTTCTGGGGTTGTGGGGCATCGCGGTAACTAACTCACGCTAGCTGAGTCTCAGGTCAACATGTGCAGTTTTGGACCAAGCCAGCACACATGGCACTTAGCGGATCTGCTTATCTTGTGCCAGCGTGCGTGCAGCTCTGACGTGATGCGCGTCATCAGGGGCGCTTGTCATGCGCCAGCGTGCGTGATGCGCGTGAGCGGGGGTGCTTATCATCTGCTAGCGTGCGTGAGCTCTGACGTGGTGCGCGCGAGAGGGTGTGCTTATCATGTGCCAGCGCGCTTGCAGCTCTGATGTGGTGCGAGTGATCGGCTGTGCTTATCATGCGCCAACTCGCACGCAGCTCTGACGTGATGCGCGTGAGCGGCTGTGCTTATCATGTGCCAGTGCCAGCCGTGCGTGCAGCTCCGCGCGTGAGCAGGTGTGCTTATCATGCGCCAGCCTACATGCAGCTCGGACGTCATGCGCGTGAGCCGGTGTGCTAGCGTGCGTTTAGCTGTGACGTGATGCGCGTGAGCGAGCAAGTGTGCAGGGGTGGAAGCCACTCAGACCGGGTGGGTAAATACCCGGTGCCTCAGAGGAACCCTCCCCAAAAAAAGGGGTAAGAAAGGGCACTGGGGGACCTAGTTGGTACGCACCAGGGGAATCATTCACTTCTTGGGCTCAGAGTTCCGCCAAGCCCAAGCTACCGAGCGCCAAAAGAAGCCCAGCACGCGCGCAGCGCCCGCCCAGTCCTCTGGGGCAGGGCAGGGCTGTTCACAGGCCTGGCGCGCCACGCGGGTTCCGGAGGTACCAAGCTTTACTTCCCTTGGTACTGGGCTTACACAACAGCCTGCTTTTGTTTCTCCCTTTTTGTTTATCTTGTTGTTTTTGTTTAATCTTGTTTTTTTTTTGTTCTGTTGGTTTGCAGGCCCCTACTAAACATAAAGAGAACAAACAACAATGACAATAGCAACCAAACACTTTGCCCCACTGAACTCGGTCTTCGGTGGTAAGGGAAGCCTCTGCTGACTTTAAACCCACAAAACTGTCAAAAGATTTGAGCAATCAGTCAAATCATCTCCACGAGTGATCCGTGTGGTACGACTGTCCATGGATTTCACTTTGGACAAAGGACAGATCAGAGCTCTCCAGGACTCCCTGGAGAATTGTGTTCTGAGTTATCTTTGTTCCTTTGGTTTCGGAATGAAAAGCTATCCAAGGATACCAACTCCAACGCCACCCTGAAATAAGTTGGAAATGGGTGATGCCTTGGTGTACATCGTACATCCATGTGCATTTCTGTTCTCCAATCTTCATCCCTCCCAGTTGCAACGCCAGTGAGCGGGAAACAAGAGAACCGTTTTATTGCGGATGGCCATTTATCAGAGGAAGGCACTTTTTCTGAGAGATTGAATCGGGCTGCTTGACCCATAAAGAAACAAAGGATTCCCCTACCTTCTGGGAACAAGGTGGGGGTCCCCAACTCCATTTTATCTAGTCCCCATAAGATGGGAAAATGGGTCTAGTCCAAGCGACGTGTACCTCGGGCAAACTGCGGAAAATTGTGCCAAAGATCTGAACTGCTGAGTTGACTGGCCGAAGTTATGGAACCTTTGCCCACAGAAGATGATGACTACCAACAAACTGTTGCCCACACAAAGCGATGGAGCCTTGAACACGATGGAGGCTTAGCATTTGGCGACTCAAAAGGTCGGTGAAAAATTGCTCAAGCCGGAAGCGAGGAACCCCAACATAGAGAGACGGAATGCGGTAGACATAGAGACGGAATCTCCCCCTCGGTGGGTTCCTTGTTGTTCTGCAGGGGGGCAATCACCCACACAACAATCCTATATCCGATGGTGCCGTCCAGATTGTGGTTATTTTGTCATGGGGCCCTTGGTATCACACTTGCCCGTAAATCGGAATTTCACCCATGCGGATCCTAAGATTTGGAGGGCCCCCTTTCCCAAATCTTGGCCAAACATCGACCCCATGCTCACTTTGCTTCAATGGAAACTGAAGGAGTCACAAAAAGGTAAAACCCTAAAACAAAAATACACAGGGTAAGTCTGGCCATGAAATTCCCGGGCCTCAGCTTCCCTCCCTCAATCAACTCCTCATTTGGCGGTTGGGATTGGTGGTTTCTTATTATGGCGTCATGTATCTTTCTGAACTGGTTCTTCCTTCCTTTGACCTATCTGCCACCCGCCTTGCTGAAGTTCCCCGCCAAACATGCTCAGTAAACTCAAGCAAGCGTAGGTAAGTCTACTTGATGCTTGCGTAGTTAAGCATGATGTAACAACCAATTTCGCGCATTGCCTTTGCGGTGATCTGCCATGCGTGTCATCGTTGCAATTCTCTGACTCATGCGAAGGCAACGGGACCTGGTCAGGGTTTACATGTTGACCACCACCGGGAACCAGTTAGAAGCTCAGCTTGGTCCAGTTGCCTTTGGCGGGGCCACAGTTCCGGCAAGCACGTGGTAAGCCCAAGGTGAGTATCTCCAACATCCTCACCGAAGCTGCTCTCTGGAACCCGCCCCACGGATTAAGACATAGCTAGCGCTGGCCAAGAGTGGGTGCCCATTCATGCTCGAGCCCTTAGAGCGCTCTGAGATGTCAGAAAGAGCTCACTTCCCGAGTGGATGGCCCAAAAACAAGTCCGAGCTGGTGGCCTTCCCAAAAAGGCCAAAAAGTCCAGGAGCTCAAGTAATAGGGAGCCACCTTACAGGTGGTGGGCATGAATCAAAACCAAAATGACGTCCACCGTTTCGGGCTCCCAATCAAAAACTTCGCGCCCGGCTTCCGCTTTTGCCATTGCGTTGACGCCGTCATTGACCAATATCATGGGGTGCTCGCCACTCCCGAAGCGAAGCGGGACGCTGGCCAAGGTGTCTGAAGAAATCCCCCCCTACCTTCAGGGGGAGGGGGGGTGGGGGGGTCCCTGATTCCATTTATCCCCAGAAAGTGAAAATAGAACCATAAATGGAATTCCAGGGGTCACCCCCCTCCCCCCATTCCATTTTTAAGGGGGTGGGGATGTCTGAACAAATCCCCTCGCACGGCATGTTCAAACCGCGATTATTGAAGTTTGTTGCATCTATCACCAGACTCAGAACAACCATTTTGATGGATTCTAACAGGCGCCCTCTATTGTGGGAAGAATCATGTTGGTTTTACACAGGTGAGCTTTCTGTGTCTCCAGCTGCGACCAAATTTCACAGATCCAAGTCGCTTACTTGGGTGCATCTACCTATATGAAGGTAGCAATTCCCCAAGTCGGGAATCTCTGGCTATGACGGGCAAGCCTGGTGCAAGTGCAAACCTACCACATGTCTCCATATACTCAAGGAAAGGTAAGCCCCACCCAATTTTTACGGGACCCCCAACGGGACCCCCTCCCCAAACACACTCGCACACACCAAACACACCTTATTGCAACAAATTGAAAGGTGAGTTGGGTTTTGTTTTGGTGGTAGGGGCAGTTGTTTGATTTGTTCTTGCAGCACCTCGGCTCAAAGTGAACAGAACCAAACAGCCACAAAATTCATACCAAGAGTGAAGGAGAGTGTTGCAACCCCCGAACGCATGAACAAGAGGCCATTGAGCAACACAAACGTTTAATTCTGAAGGCAACGGTTGCCATGTCCTGCATCTAACTTTGAACCGAACATGTCACGTCTGACGAGCATCGAAATTATTGCACCACAAACATTGCATAAGCGCAAAACCAAAACAGTGGGTCATGATGCTCTCTGGCGTGTTGTGTTCACTGGGATGCGGCATAACCACAGGCTTCTGTTGCTTTCCGCAGGTCCTCAACCCACCAATGGACACCATGGCAAATTCCAAAAAACAAAAAAACGGCCTCAAAGGACGCGCTTTGGGGGGCGGGGGGGAAGAATGATGCCCGCTCTGGGTCTGTTTCTCTGTTTTTCTGGCGCACCCGCAATTGCAGCATGTCGCGTGCCGCGAACGGCGAGCACCAGAGACGAGTTGTTTCGCACAAGGGATCTGTAGGGTCCATCAAGACGGCATCTTCCAAACCCGAAATGGTGGGACAACTGCCTGAAAATGGATAGAACCTCTCATAGCCTCGGGGGCGGGGGGCCTCTCCCTTGAGCTAAGGATATAAGCCGGGAATTGACAGCCCCAGCCCCCAGCCCGTGACTCATGCCCACTTTGACAAACCAAGCCTGCGGCCCCGGCGCGGTCCGTGGGTCCGAATGGATAAATCCCAGTCCAGCGAATCTGTGGTGTGGGTGAAAAGCTGGGATTCACGCCCTTCACGTGCAAGGGTTTCGGGGTCTTGATAAAAGGCAACTAACAAACCATGTCAATTGCAGACCATCTGGTAGCTCCTTGGCTTCTTGTTTAGAAGCAACTCTGGATAACCCCAGCTCCGTAGCGGCTACCTTCCAACCAACAACTAGTAACAATTGAAAAAAATATGAGTTCAGGAGTTCTAAAAACTCCCCTTCTGAAAAGTTTTGCCTTTCACAGCACAATGTGCAAGCGTCCCTATTCTAAAAAAACAACATGCTGTAACCAGAATAAAAAAGGCGAATTGCCCAAACTTCACGCTAAATTCCGAGTCCTCAGATCCAGGATTCTCGAGCTGTGTCGGGAAAAGACCTGTTTGTTTAGGAGCTTCTACCCCCTGCCCAGCATTAATATCACTTTTCCTGGTAAAGGGACCTTCTCGTGGGCCTACTCCATGTAGGTGAGTCTGAAGTGTGATAGATAATCAAACCCTCAAAAATGACCCTCTCAATGGTCAAGCCCGGACAATGCTCTGGAACATGATCCTTGTTATGCTCAGGTGAGATTTGTCCTTCCAAATCAAATTCCGCTCAATGTCTCGCATCGGCCCCTACGGACAGGGCCAAGCAACCGGGCAATGAAGTTGGAAGGCGCTCACTTAGCCAAAGTCTGGGAATCATTCTCATGGGCAAAGCGGATCTGTTCACTTGGATTGCTTGGTGCCTATGAGACTTTACCATAAGCTATGGGTTCCGCTTGCCCGAGCCCAGTAGTGGGCTTTCAACGGTGCACACGCTGATTACCAAGTTGTGTCTCACCCCGCCTCTGAATCAATCGGACGGCATGGAAAAACCACCGGTTCAACTGAACAAAGCCTTGAGTCTCCGCTTCCTAAGTCCTTCGGCCAAAACCAAAAGGCTAATAAAAAATAAAACAAAAATAAAAACAAGCAGCGCGTTCTTGCCACTGAAATGGTCAGGATCCCAAATTGGTCGAAGTCCAGAACTTGCATGGCCAGGAAGTCGGATCCAAAAGTCTAAGGCTCAGTCGTTTAGGGCTGGAGAAAAGTGGTTTGGCATGTTTGGCCAACCGTTCTTCCTAAATTCCAAGTTCGCAAGCAACAAAAAAGACAAAAACCCTTTCGTAACCCCAAGGGTGAATGGCAAGAACAAGTGCCAAGTTCAGCACGAGTTCGGCTAAGTGAGCCTCCTGTAACAGTACATCCCTGCCATTGGCAGACAGGCGTGAACTCAACCGCGAACCCGTCGAGTCGCGCGGGAATCCACGGCTTTCTCCGCGTCGCGGCAATTCAACGTGGCGATGGCCATGTGAATACCCGACAAAGCTGCCCAAAACTGAGTTCGGGCCCACAAAGAACCGGCACCGGTCGCCAAAGATGATAGTTCGTGCACGCCGACCCCTAAAAATATTCCCAAAACCCAAAAGTTTCATGGGGCAAAGCTGAAAATCCATTTGGGCCATTAAACATGACCTCAAAGTTCACTTCCTGAATCGATCGGCCATTGGCCTAAAAGAACATTTTTGTTGGCTCGACTCAAATGGTCTTCCAACAGCCTTCAAGGCCAGCTTCTCACTTCAGCCGCTGCAGCTGCTGTTGTTGCCAGGCGACCTGAGACAGCCACACGCTATTGGCCACACGCCATTGGTGCAAATACTCGGTTGCTTTCCGCTCCCCTGCTAAAAGTGAATAATAAGTTTTAGTGGTCTACTGGAAAACCCATTATTTGGCAAAAAGTTAAAGTCCTAACATCCAAGCAAATGCACCAAAGAATATGTTGTTTGTTCACAGTTTTAGCTAAGGGCAAAGGTATGAGATCCCAAACGTTCGCCCTGATTCATCCGGGTGAACCACCCTGCAAAGAACAAGCATGGCACCTGCATGGGGGATCCCTGCAAGACCTTGCTCTTCTTGCGGCCTTGCTTCAGATTCCATGTACCCTCGTTTCAACAATCGTAAAGTGCACAGTGGGGTTTTGAAAACTAACCTCACCGAAAAAAAGGGTCCCCCACAACCTGGACAAAGCATCAGTTCTCGCTCACGTCAAGCACCGAAGGTGTCCATTGGAATGGGCGCGCAACTTCTCAGCTAATTGGCCATTGAGCCATCGCTGATTCTAGTGGATTGCAAAGAAACGAAAACGCAATTTCACTCACTGGCAAACCCAGGCCTAGGGACACCCGCTCTGTCTATATCTAGTTCCCAGTTGGGGGGTTGGAAGCTTGGGCGGTGAAAAGGCGCCAGGGGCTGAAGATTAGGCGTGGGAATCTGGAAATGGAAAAAAGCCCAAGATGTTTATACATGAGTCTACCTCTCTCGGTTGCTTTCTGCACCCCTGCTAAAAGTTTAACTTTTAGTGGTTTAATACGGAAAACCCATGAGTTGGCAAAAAGTTAAAGTCCCAACAGCCAAGCAAAATGCCAAAGTTTATACATGAGTCTACCTCTATACTGTATCATGTCGGGTAATTCCAGGATTTCCAGGACCATGGTTTGGCTGAGTGCCGGTCTCCTTGAAAGGGTTGGTCATACCAACAAAAAAAAGCCAAGCCGGGAAGACGGGACACTGCCCATGTTTTGGGTGCACTCATTTCGTCATTTCCCCCGCCAGCTGGCGCTTTTGGACGAGCCCGTTTCGAGTGGCTCGTTGTGGCAAGCTGGAGCTTGCGGCAAGAAACAAAAATCCAGACCGCGCCCCGGAGGTTTTTGAATTTAAAGCGATGAATCGGAAGCTGGCTGCTTACATTCTAGGCATGCACGTGTTCGTTGCCAACTCCCACCCCTTTTCACTCCTACCTGTTTGGGCTTGTTGTTTTGACATACCCCCGTTGATTCTTACCATTGTTCCCCCATGCCCTGGGCCCACGACAGCATCTTCGCGCCACTTCGCGTAGATGTCTTCGCAGTCCTTGAGGTAGCGCTGCCTGGGGCTTTGGGCCCGTGTGCTAGTGGGACGCAACTTGGTTGACGCTGGAAGGGGAGCAACAAAAATAAATTTTAGAAGTTAAGTTGGGATTTCAACCACTAGACCACAATAAGCAAAAATGTGAAAAATGTTTCCCCACAACAACCATGGCAAGGCCAAACACAGCTACACCCTACAGACTCATGTAGAGGCTTGGGTGTAAAGGTCCAACATCTGACGTGGCAGCCGTGCCAAAAGATCCAACCTAGAACCCCCAGGCCAACTCACACATGTTCCACATGATATCCAAATGATCTCCAAATGACACAGTCCCCGTCTTCACATGTTCTCACAAGTACGTACAAACCCCGAAAACAGGATACATTCAAACCTTCTCTTGGTGATTTCAACAACTTGGCTGGCAAACTGCCATTGACCGCTTGTCTGACCACTGAAACATGGAGAAAACCTGGCCAGCTTAGCGCAATGCAAATGGCCAAGTCAACCGAAAGGCAGACACTCTTCCCCTGAATGCAAAACAAAAACATCTTGCCCAACTGCAGTTTTACAAGGCAAAGTGAAGGAAAACAGTGGGGCAGCAAAACCAACAGTTTGCCCAAAGCACTTGGACTCCAATGCAGCTGCACAAGGCAAGGAAAAGGCAAACACTTGGACAGCAAAACTGAACAGTCTCCCCAAAATGCAGTTCTACAAGGCAAAGTAGTTAAAGGCAGACACTTGGAAAGTAAAGCTGAACAGTTTGCCCAGATGCAGTCTTACAAGGCACAGTTACTAAAGGCAAACACTTGGACAGTAAAACTGAATTGCTGGCACAGTAAAGACACAAACAATTGGAAAATGCAGATTTACAAGGCACAGTAAAGGCACACACT